AAATCAACAAGTGGCAAGCTCATGAGAGAGGTTAGGTGAGGACCATTTGGAGGAGGGAAGGACCAAACTTGCTCCCCACTCCCTCTCCAAAAACCTCCCAACTCATCCCTTAAGCCTCCTCTTACAATGCGCCACATGGCACCACACTTGGGCACCAAGGCACCCAAGGTTGGATGCCATGTGCGGCAGCCAGCAAGCCCTAGCACAAGCGTGCGGGCTGCTAGGCGCTGCTACCCAACAAGCGCTGCATGGCTTTGCGGGTTTCTCGTGCTCTCAGCCAGCAAGCCACGCATCAAGGATGCGGGCTGCTGCTGAGAGCTGATGCTCCTTGTGCGAGTTGGCCAGCGCTGCTAGCATGCAATGCTAGCATTGGTGCGCTAGTACGCACAAGCCAGCCTAGGCTCGGCTTGGTGCGCATGCTAGCCGCCATGCTATACCAAATGCCCTAGCACTCGGTTTGCTCGAGGCATTCCGATGCTACGGGTATTTTGGTCTTGTTGATTTATTATTTTCATGTCTCGACTTTTATTATTTTGACTCGACTTTCGACGCTCGGTTCCGACACTCTAAGCTCGAATTTCCGACGTCTAAATATTTAATACTCGGGCGATGAATTAATTTCTTCCGAATTAATTTGTCTAGTCGGTTCGTATATTTTCTAGGGTGTGACCTGAGGGTTAAGTCAAGATTAAGCTTTTAATATTAATTATACATTAATATTACTGATCGGAAGCGGCCTCCACCCAGGCATTCCCATCACTTGACCTTACTGAATATATTAGCTTTCTAATAATTCTGAACCCGTTATCAGAATAATACACTTGTTCAAAGGACACCATTCCTTTCAAACTTTGCTAGAGATGACAATCCAATCTTGGAAAAATTGTCGTTTAAGAAGAATGCGCGACAATCCACTTTTTGAAATATTGTCAGTTGGGGATGACAATTTAATCGTGGAAAAATTATCATATAAGTGCTTGCTTTTGAACCGATGCCTTGGTCCTTGTAATGAGCTAGTGTTTTAGGCGCTTAAGCTAAGTGAGACGCTTTTTTTGTTAGGTCAATCACTTACTACGATTGTAAACGAGCCGACTATTAATCATGTCAATTTGCTTATAGGGGCTAACTGGCGTACCAAGGATCCCGAAATTGCTGTAAGAGGTCCGCATAATCCAATATGGGGCCATGCATCTCGTTGCTGCACCGGTGTTTTCCTGAACATATTGTAGCCGCGTTCTCGTTCTGTTGCTAGGCGACAGCCATGTCGTTTGACGTTGGAGTCAAGTTTTCATTCGCGGCTTTTCGAAAAAAATCCAGAAATGTTCTTGCTCGCTGGAATGTACCTGCATTTATAGTTTGGACTATATGACTTTGCTTATCTTTCTTTAGGGTTGACCTAAGAATTAGTGTTGCTTGACTCATTGACTTGACATGACTCAAGGTATAAACTTGACTTAATGATGACTTACTTCGTGTGACTCATGTGTGCATAGTGTTGACTCAATGTGATAACACGACATGACTCAATGTGTACATGAATCGTGTGTGCATTGTAATGTGATTGTGCGACTCGAAATTGCAAAAAAAAAAAAAAGCAATAATTTTCCATCATTTTTGTGGAGGGTACTGACTTTCTCCTGAAAAAGAAAGACGCGAAAAAGAATCAAAATTTTTGAGGGTGCATTTTAAATGAGCTTAGTCAAATATATGCGTTTGATGCTATTTCTTAAGATGCAAGGAACAATTCATCTTAAACTGTCCTAGTTGACTTGATAATGGAAGTATTTAGGTAACTTAGGCACGGAGGCTAAGCACTTGACCACTAAAATTCGGTGATTTTACGACAGATTTATTGTATAAAAACGGTCGCAATTCATATTAATTACGACCGCTTAAAAGACTGTCGTAAAATTAATTTTTTACGACCGTTGTGCCGGTCGTTGAAAATATGTGATTTAATTTTTTTTTTAATAATTACGACCAGTTTAACTGTCGTAGAACCGGTCGCAAGTTTTTTTTAAAAAATTTGAAAATAAAACAGTGTAGTCGTATATCATTTGCAAGGGGAAGGGGAAAGAAGAAACAGAGAAGGGGAAAGAGGGAAAGAGAGAAATAACGATTGGGTCACAATCGAACCGGCATTCTCCGGTCGTTCTTCCCTCCGACGAGAATTCTCCGGCCAGCGACACTACACGAGGTTGGTTAAACTTAATTTCTTTTTTTTTTTTTTAAATTTCGTTAATTAATTGTGAACCCTAATAATGGGTTGAAATCCACCCCTAAGAAGGACCACCGTCGCTGGCTTCCCCTCGTGCTCGTCCCTCCTCGTTTTCCGACGCCGGTGTTCAGGTAAGTCAGGCATTTTGTTTTTTTAATTTAATTAATTTGGGAAAAAAACCCTAAATTTGGGTCACAATCGAACTTCTTCGCAGGGCTACCGTCGCCGCCTCGCAGTGTTCCTCTTCTCTCCGTCCCTTCTCTGTTTTCCGTCGAGTTAAGTCAGGTTAGTAGCTGTAATTTTTTTTTTTTCAAAATTAGGTTGAAAATGTGAATTTTTGGAATTCACTTTGCTCTGTTTGATAATAGGTTAATTAGTAAAGAGAGAGTTATCTATGTTAAATTTTTTTTTGGTGCTTGATATTAAAAGTATTCATGTTCTGATTTTTAAAAGTTTTTTTTGTTCTCTACACTTGATTTTAATTGATATTAAAAGTTTCAGGTCTATTTTTTTTGTTCTCTACACTTGATTTTTACCAAAGTGAGATTACTTATGCTGATTAAACGTTTTATTACTAACTGAAACTTGGTTTGATTTAAGAAATTGATTTTTATTTATTAATAGTGATTTTGACTAATTAAACTGTTTTTTATAGAGAAACTGATTTTTTCTTGTATAAGCTTATTATTAGTAAATTATCTTCTTTAGGTGAAGATAACAACCCATTTGTTAAGAGCTAGTAATTTCACTTTACCCTTACCAATAAGTATAGATGAATGTCATTCCAACAATATCGTCATTTAAATTTTGTTCTTTCCCCTTGAAGTTATGGTTTTGTGTGTATATTGGTATCAATTTAATATGCGACCCTCGTAAAACCATTCTTTTTCCTGAAGCTCAATTTCACTCCCCATATTTTTACCATTGTCAACCACTGAACCCTGAAATTAAAGCTCAAAGACAGCTAACAGGTTGTCTTTGCTCGTCGTTTGCAAATACCTCCTTGTACCTTCCTTAGTTTGCAAATACTTCCTTGTACCTTCCTTAGTTTAAATATGCTTTTCTTTTTAAAACAATTCTTTTTAGAGTTTGCTCAAGTGAATTTGAGACCTTGTGTAAAATATGATTTATATAACCCATTCTACTAGTTAGAAATTTTCATCTTTCTTTTTGATAGTTGTTGGCCTATTGGGGTGTTGTGTACTTGGGATTAGTAGTACTAGAAATCTAAGTGAGAGTAGATTGCAGAGAGGAACACTATTAACTGGACATCTATTATAGAAGCATGGGACCTTGGGGCATCATCTATATGTTAATCTCATTGAAGTTTACAGCATTTTTTAGATTAATTTTGGATGTAATGAAAATTTTCTATCTAGAATCGATTAAATAAGCATTTAATAGTGTTTCGTGTCTTAGTAACCTACCAAAGAAATGACTATCTTTAATTTTAGATTGAGCTTTATAAATCTTGCTAGAAATTGAACTTTTATGGCTGGTTGAGTATTTGGTGTTTCATATTTTTGAGTTTTTCTTGTTTTTTGCTCTGTTTCGTTATCTTGTCTGAAATAGCTAATTGTGGGTCGCTGTTTAACTCCCTTTGCAGCTCCACCGTCGCCGGATTCCTCTTGTGCCCGTCCCTCCTCCTTATTCTGTTTTTTTCCGTCGCCGCCACCAGGTAAGTCGTGTGTAGTTATTTTTTTTACTTTTAAAGTTCTTTTTATAAATACCCTGCCTAAAAATGTAACACCACCATATACCAGGACCACCTTCGTCGCCGCCTCTGCTTTTCCGATCAACTCCTCCAGTGTGTGTTTTCTTCCCTTCTTATTTAACTACTTCTTTTACTTGTGCAATATGATTCATATTTATGTTAGTTGTTTATGGAGTTATGATCTATATTTAAAAAAACATTCTTTAGTAGATGCATTTTGATTTCAGTTTATTATCATTGATTTACTTTGTGAATGTGCTACTTGTTTAACTGGGTTTTTCTAGTGATTCTTAAATGGTTAGTTTGGTATTAGCAAGAGGTTTGCTATTGATAGCTTGGTTCATTGTTTGTTTTTTTTACGCTTTATTGTGCGGAGGCTTGAACTTGGATATGTTTTGATTGGAATAGAAATTTATTTTGCTTCATGTCCAATATAGGACTATTGGATGGTATGAACTCATGTGTTGGATAAATTTAGTTTTCGTTTTAAAATAATATGATTCTTATTGAATTACAATGACTTTATTAGAAATATGTATGTTTAAGGGGTTATGATAATCTTTGAACATTAATTTGTCTTATGGTTCTATAATGTATTTTGGAAATTATTTTGTTTTTTCATGAAGGGTTTCATGTGGTTTTTTTTTTTTTAATATTTTTATATTTTAATTTTTGTTATTAAACTCCCATCTTTGTTAACTATACAAATCATATTGCTTCTTTGATTTTATTAATGTTACATCAATTTACTTTGAAATTGGATAAATATAATTTATCAGTGTAAATTATAAATAATTTAATCAATATTGTAAATTATATATAATAAGTATTTTAGAAAACAAGTTGTAAAAATTGTAAATATTTATCAAGTTAGAAGCATGTGACATAACATAAGTTTAAATCTCTTAATAAAGAATGTGGAATCAGCTTTCCTGTTTAAGTCATGATAAGTACCTTTGGATATCATTTCGATTCTAATTGTATCGTATGCCATTATTGTAATGAATACAAGTTTTGTGTGAATGATTAATGTGATTTGTTTTTCATAGTGTTGTAGAATTTGTCACCATGAAAAGGAAAGAGCGTTGGTGGATGTACCATAGATATGATGGCAGTAATGCCCGTAGACTTAGGCAAGAGTTTGTGGAAGGTGTTGAACAATTCATACGGTTTTGTAAAGCTCATCCTGAGAGCCTGGGCATAGATGAAGTAAGATGCCCTTGTTTGTTATGTAAGAATAGACGTCTTCATGATGCTAACACAGTAAAACTCCATTTGTACAAAAAGGGGTTTATACCTGATTACTATGAGTGGGTTTCTCATGGTGAAGGGTTCCCTACATCAAGTGTAGAGCAACCAAATACTTACCGTGAAATGGTTCTCGATGCTCTTTGGAGTAATCATGAACCAACGGGTGACGATACTACTAGTGGTTCAGATGAAGAGCCAAATGCTCAAGCAAAAGCATTTCAAGAGCTTTTAAAGGTTGCTGAGCAACCACTGTACGAAGGTAGCTCCATGTCTATGCTAGAAATGGAATCTCGAATTGTATCTTTGAAGTCGGAATACAATTTGCCCCATTGGTGCGTTGATGGGTTTTCTTCATTACTGAACGAAGCGATTCCCGACAATAACAAGATGGGAAAAGCATTCTATGATACAAAGAAGATTCTTAATGGACTTGAGCTTCCGCACAAGAAGATCCATGCATGCCCAAAGGGTTGTATGTTATTTTGGAAAGCTGATACTGAGTTGGATAAGTGTAGAGTGTGCAAAAGGGATAGATACAAGAGGACTTCAAAGGGGTCATTGGTTCCAATAAAAGAACTTATCGATTTTCCAATCACTCCAAGGCTACAACGGATGTTTGCAACAAAGAATGTTGTGGAGGAAATGACCTGGAATTCCAAAAATCCAAGAGTCCAAGGCACAATGGCGCATCCTAGTGATAGTGAAGCTTGGAAGCACTTGGATAAATCCTTCCCCGATTTCGCATCTGAACCTAGAAATGTGAGACTTGGTATGTGTACAGATGGGTTTGCTCCTAATGGCAAGTTTGGGGGTCAGTATTCATGTTGTCTAGTCATTCTGACCCCTTATAACTTGCCTCCATCAATGTGCATGAAAAAACCATTTATGTTCCTTTGTTTGCTCGTTCCTGGTCCTAAAAATCCGAAGGAATACTTGGATGTGTATCAACCGTTAATTGATGAATTGAAACAACTGTGGGATGTCGGTGCAACTAATTACGACATCTCGCAAAGAAAAAACTTTAATTTGCGTGCAGCAATCTTGTGGACTATAAGTGATTTCCCAACCTGTGGTATGCTTTCTGGTTGGGCAACATCTAGTAAAAAAGCATGTCCATATTGCTTGGACAAATCAAAAGCTTTTTGGCTTGAACATGGTGGTAAAATGTCTTGGTTTGATTGTCATCGCCAATTTCTTCCTCCCGAACATCCTTTTCGAAACAACAAAATTGCTTTTTGTAAGAATAAGGTTGAAAAGGGGACACCACCTCACATAATGTCTGGCGACGAGCTATGGCAACAAGTTTAACACTTTGCTAAGGAACTGATGGACCAGAAGCACTCGCAAGCTTGAAAAAGAAGAAACTAGGGTGGTTTAAACAAAGAATTCTTTGGGAGTTACCGTACTGGAAGACTCTTCTCCTCCGCCACAACCCTCGTTGTCATGCATATTCACACAGTGATGGATGTGAAAAAACGTACTTCAGACACAGTTGCATCTAGAAAAGACATTGCGAAATATTGCAACGACCACAATTACATGTGGAGGAGGATGCGAGAGGGAAAGACACTTTGCCGAAAGCCCCATTCTCACTCGACAAGGCTCAAAAGAAAGTGTTATGCGAGTGGGTAAGGAACTTGAAATTTCCCGATGGTTATGCTTCTAATTTGAGTAGATGTGTAGATTTACAGTCATGTAAGCTTCATGGTTTAAAGAGCCACGACTGTCATGTCTTCATGGAGAGATTGTTGCCACTTACTTTGAAGGAATTTCTCCCGGTCCATGTTTGGAAAGCTATTGCTGACATTAGTCTTTTCTTCCATGATATTTGTTGTTCCACCATCAAATTGAGTGATATGGAAAGATTGGAACACAACATGGCAGAAATTCTTTGTAAGCTCGAGAAGATATTTCCACCAGCGTTCTTCAACACTTACCAGTTTACTTGTCTTATGAAGCTAGGTTATGTGGTCCTGTCCAAAATCGTTGGATGTATCCGTTTGAAAGGTTTTAGCTCCTACAAACTCATAGCTGCCATTTTCGTTTATACACCTATAATTGTTTGCAAAACATATAACTTATTCAATATTTTTTATTATGGATTCCTTAATCATTTGAAACGTAAAATTGGAAATAAGGCTCGTGTGGAAGGTTTTATCTGCAATGCATATCTAACGGAAGAGATAGGGTACTTTTTCTCTAACTACTTCCAACAAGGAGTGGATACCAAAACACGTGACTTAGGTCGTAATGTGCATGATGATGTTGAAAGCACTTTGGATGATAGTGTTCGAGAATTGAATAGGGTTGATCATGGACATGCTTCTACCGGTGGAGTTCGCCGCTTTTTGGATGAAAAATAACTACAACGTGCTTATTTATATGTTTTGGGAAATAGCGGCATTCTGGAACCATATGAGAGGTATTAAATATACATATATTATCACACTTATTAAGATTTCATTAAATTTTGCATCGTATCCAATGTCGACCACCTTCATTAATACTCTTTCTCTGGTTATATGGAAGGGGGTTTGAGGACCATATTGTTCAAATGCAACCCACTATTCGCAAAGAAGATGTGTGGATTAAACATGAAGCTGAATTCCTCGAGTGGTTTAGGTTGAAAGTGAGTATGATACGCATTTGACATCAACACGTTTTCTTACTTTGTTGCTATAACTTCACGGCATATATCAGTTTGATATAATTATGCCATATGACCAGGTGATTTAAGAAAAGCCAAATGATGAAATATTGTTTGCTTTGGCTATGGGCCCATCTAAGCGAGTGCGTACTTGGAGCCAATTCTATGTGAAGGGATACAAATTCCAAACTTATGGCCATGGAAAACATAAGTTAACAATGAATTATGGAGTAAGCGTACCCAATGTAGATGGTGGTGATTATTTTGGGTTTCTAGAGGATATCATCGAGTTGGAGTTCACTGGTGCCCTACGGACTTACAAGACTGTTCTTTTTAAGTGCAGTTGGATGGACTCCACTAGGGGTATGAACATTGATCAATACAATCTTGTAGAAGTGAATCATACCAAAAAATACCCCAAGTACGATCCATTTGTGCTTTCTTACCAAGCCAACCAAGTCTACAATGCACCTTACCCAAGTCTGAAAAGAGACAAGGCTCAATGGTGGGCAGTGTTCAAGAAAAAGGCAAGGTCTGTTGTTGATGCACTTATTGACGAAGACTTTCTACAAGAAACTAGTGCTGACATTCCAACTCTTTGTGCTCCAGATGATATTCCGGACTATGAAGGTGATGAAGATGGATTTGGAGATTCGGATATTGAAAATGAAGTGCTGCCCAATGACCCTCCAGATGAGTCCAGTTTCGAATCTACTGATAGTGAGGACGAGGATGAGGATGACATATTTTGGGATGACGATACCGATGATGATCTTAGTGCTGATGGGGAGGGTGATTCAACTGAGATTTAGGAGATTGATTGTAACCTTGTTTTAACTTTTTAATTATGTAATCATATTGGATTTCAATTTATTTTAAAAGACCATCCTATTTATAATGTGATATACTTGTGTAAATATGATATTATTTATATTTTGCAAAGCCAAGGTTATGCGTGAAAGTAGCTTATAGATCGTGATATAACATAACTATATGATTTTTACCGATGTTCATAATGTTTTTCTTATTTTAGGTTGTCATGGCTGGTGATGGTCGTCGGAAGCTGGGACATGCCACCCCGAGAGAACTGTTTCCGTCGATAAGCCATGCTATTAAGGAAACTTCTCCGGAAGTTACCCCATCCCCTCAGTCATATGTAGATGGTTCTTGGTAATCTACTCAGGTTCCTCAGACGTAAGACGGTAACTCTCTCATGGGTGAGGTACCTACCCCCATTGCAAGAAGGACTTTGCACCCTACAGGGTTATGGTAAGTTATTCATGTTTATCTTAATTTGCATTCCAACTTGAACAATCTTGGTTAGATTTGTTTGTAATGACTTCATTTGTTTACTTATTAGTACTAAGGTTCGATGATAACACCGTGAGCACCTCCATTACAAATATTTTTCAAGCACATTGGTGCAAACCGTGGCTTAACTATGAAATGGTTGACGAGGTTACTAAGACCCATTGGTGGAACTCGTTTACGGTATTATAAAACCTCCAAGTTTAGATTACTCATCTAACTTTGGTGTTTGTTAGTTACTTATTACAATATATTATTATACATTTTATTTTTCTTGTTTGCAGAAACAATACCTTTGGAATGCTGATCTCGACACCCTTGTGAAGGAGTATGAAAAGAAGGCACATAAGAGGTTGAAAGAGATTACATACAATGTTTCGGTCAGAAACAAGTCAGTTCCCAGATGGATAGGACAATGTATGTTTGAGCAAATTATGGCGAAAAGAAAGGATCCGGTTTTTCTGGAGAAGTCAGAAAAAGCAAAGAAGAACAGGAGGGGCGACTCCTTATCTAATCCAATTGAGCCGTCAACTTCCAAGGTTCTATCTCTACATCAAAGCATGCGAAGAAAATGGTAATACTTAATAGTATATAATGATAATGATAAATTTTAGTAGTTACATACACTAAGCATTTATGGAGTAATTTGATTTGTGCAGGCTCAGAAAGTCGGTGGAGTTCTTCCAATTGCCCCTGAGGTGTTCCTAAAGACACATTTCAAGGAAGTTCCATGAAAAGGAAAAGTTGCGGCTAACAAGAGGGCACAACAAATCTCGGTAACACATATAACTTTAGAAACTAATGAAATTATTTTTTAAGGACAAAAGCAAATCATAGGCACTTATACTTGTGATTTGAAACTGGAGGCACCTAACTTTGGAAACTAATGTGTTATTTGAATGAAAAACTCTTATAATATAGCAAAAACAAAGAAAATGGGTAAGTTAAAATGCCATTTTAGCCATTTTATCCTAGTTATGACCCTATAGCCTTGTAAATGCTTGAAAATGTGTATGTTTTAGCAATTTGAACCTATAAAAAATGTTTAATATGATATATATGAGTTGTTTGATTGACAAATTCTTAGAATATAGCAAAAAAAAAAAAAAAAAAAAAGGGTAAGTTAGAATGCCATTTAAGCCATTTTAGCCAAGTCGTAAACCTATAGCCTTGTAAATGCTTGAAAATGTGTATTTTTTAGCAATTTGAACCTATAAACATGTTTTATGTGCTAAATAAGGGTTGTTTGATCGACAAATTCTTATAATATAGCAAAAACAAAGAAAATGGGTAAGTTAGAATGCCATTTAAGCCCTTTTAGCCAAGTTGTATACCTATAACCTTGTAAATGCTTGAAAATGTGTATGTTTTAGAAATTTGAACCTATATGTTAAATATGGGTTGTTTGATTGACAAATTCTTAGAATATAGCATATACAAAGAAAATGGGTAAGTTAGAAGGTCATTTAAGCCATTTTAGCCAAGTTGTAAACCTATAGCCTTGTAAATGCTTGAAAATGTGTATTTTTTTAGCAATTTGAACCTATAAACATGTTTAATATGCTAAATATTGGTTGTTTGATTGACAAATTCTTAGAATATAGCAAAAACAAAGAAAATGGGTAAGTTAGAATGCCATTTAAGCCATTTAAGCCAAGTTGTAAACCTATAGCCTTTTAAATGCTTGAAAATGTGTATTTTTTTAGCAATTTGAACCTATAAACATGTTTTATATTCTAAATATGGGTTTTTTGATTGACAAATTCTTAAAATATATCAAAAACAAAGAAAATGGGTAAGTTATGCCATTTAAGCCATTTTAGCCAAGTTGTAAACCTATAGCCTTGTAAATGCTTGAAAATGTGTATTTTTTAGCAATTTGAACCTATAAACATGTTTAGTATGCTAAATATGGGTTTTTTAATTGACAAATTCTTAGAATATAGCAAAAACAAAGAAAATGGGTATGTTAGAAGGCCATTTAAGCCATTTTAGCAAAGTTGTAAGCCTATAGCCTTGTAAATGCTTGAAAATGTGTATTTTTTAGCAATTTGAACCTATAAACATGTTTAATATGCTAAATATGAGTTGTTTGATTTCAGGAAGCCTACCAAAATAAGCTTAATGAGTCTTCCACTAAGAAGGGTCACAACCGGACCCTAACCAGCTATAATGGGAGGTCGTTGGTGGTAGGAAAAAGGGTGTAGTGAAGGGCCTAGGTGCAAGTGCTAGTTTGTTTTACAGCCCTTCTTCCGAGAAAGGCTCGCAATCGTACAATCCTTCTATAGCTTCACAGTTGGAGGAACGTGTGCAAGCCGAGGTTGCCAAGCGAATACAGGAGGCAAAAGTGCAA